AGGCCGACGGTGTCGAGGGCCGGTCGGGGCGGTGCGGCCCGCATAGCCGCTCTGCTCCGCGGCTGCCCCTCCCCTCCCCCCCCCCCCCCCGCCGCCGGGAGGTCGTCGGCCGGCGGGAGCGTGACGGCGCGGCGAGTCGGGACTGGTGCTGATCCGGCAAGGTCCGCTCTTGTAGTCAGTAGCCCGCTTTCATCACGAACTGCCAGGAAGTGCTGCAGCCTGACTCACATCGTGAACAGTCGTTAGGTGCTCTAGCCCCGTTTACATCGCAAACAACCCGCGAGTGCTGTAGCCCGGGTTACATGCCAACAGCCAACAGGTGCTGCCAGGCGGCGCGGTCTGTGGCGTGGAGTCGCATTGCCAAGAGCTTGTCGAGGACGAGTTTTACAAGTTGGTGTTCGTGACGTTGAAATATGCTGCATGTGGTTTTCGATTCCTTATTTACTGTGTTTTACCAGCGCTTTCTACAGCACCGAGTCGCGATAAAGGAGGCAAAAATGAAGCTCGCGCGTTCCATATTCGTCTGTCATGAATACTGGCCGCGCCTGCTCTGGATCAGTGGGCATGCGTCTTCGCGGTCCACGCCTCCCACCCGGCCAGCCGCCTGCTTGTCGTGCGCCTCTGCTGAGAATGCAGCCGCTAGTCTGGGAGTGGTCAGGACCGTATCCGACATGGCGCCTGCAGAATAGGCAGACTGCCTTGGTGAACTTTTAGGAGGAAAAAATGTGCATTCGTGAATGCTGGTAATGCATCACACCCTCAAGTATTTGTTCAGACGTGGTTGTGATTACGAAAGGCGGTAATTCTTGGACGCGAATCTGAAGTAATGCCAAAGACCTCGCCGGCTCACCATGCCAGCAGCGGACGTCAGGCCCTGAACCCCAAGCCAAGGCTGCAGCCTCCGTGCCTCGTAGGCAGGTCTTGTCCGACGGGTGGCGTCCCGTTCAGGCCGACATCCGGATCGGACGCGCCGCCGTGCCTCCTGGTCTGGCCGTGGGCAGAGGCGCCGCACGGGCTCAGTATGCGGGCTCGGCGTCTCTCGTGAAGGATCACCTCCGTCCCATGGTGTCGGAGTCATTTGCATGTCGCTTATAAACTAGCTGCATGAATTATGAGCTTTGGTCGAGTCGTGCGCCTTGTGGCGACCCTGAAAATACGCGTCCTCTGTCGCCGCGAAGGCTCTCCTCACTGAACGGGGTGCGACGTAGCGGTTGCGATGAAGGTCTGCATGGTCTGCATCTGCGTCTGCACCTGAAGGCACCAGGCAGCCCACTTTTCCGAACCATCTTATCCATCTGAAAACGACGACAGGAGGCCATTGTCCTGGCGAGATATTATATGTTGTGGTCGTTTTAACGTTATCACTGCGCACCGACAATCCTGAGGGGTGTGCGTGCACGCTCTAAGCCCATCACTTTACGCTGTTGTTCGCCTGCCTTGCACCTCCGGGTTCTGGTCGCCCAGGTCAGAGCCTTGTTGGCACCCCACGGGCGCTTGGCATGGCCGCAGTAGGCTGTATTGGGAGCCTCCCTGTCTGTATGCGCTTTGCCCGCGGCGCGGGATGGGTCTTTTGGCGTAGGCACTAGCTGCCGAGGTGTTCGGTTTTTAGCACGACCATTTCCGGACAGGATGAGAGGGGATAAATCTCGTCGGTTATGCCGAACGATAATTTTTAGTTCACCCAGCGTCACCCGAATATCGTGAGGCGGCAAATAATCGGCAAATAATCGGCAAATAATCGTGCCAAGACATAGTACGGTCCAACAGACGGAGGATGCTGCGAGCGCTTGGGAGTGTTCACATTGGTATGGCTTTTGAGCGGAAATGGGCATCTTGAAAATGGTTCGCTTCATTTTACATCCCCTTTCTTAGAACCTAACCCCGTCCAGTTTCTGAGCTACACGTTCGTGAAGGTGTGCAGACTTTTTCGGGAGACTATTTCAAGGTCACCCAGGGAGCCATGACGCCATAACGCCATTCAAATCCTGCAGTTTCCTTAAGCCGTGCGGCGACCAGGCCGAGCAAAACATAATTGTTGAGTTGTTCTTATGTGGCATTCGTAAGCACGATTTCCAGCTATGGCGGCCGTCAATCGGCTCTGAATCAAGGTTGCGCAAGGTGTGATGGCGTAATCAAACAATAACGTATTGATGAGCGTATTTACTAAACGGATTAATTGTGTTGACTAGAGCGGCCTTTTCAGCTTAAAAGTATATCAGTAGTTATAAGTGAGCTAATTTCATCTTGCCTGTTGCTGACTTCAGTGCCTTCAAATGCGGAACATTTCCTTTAAGCAATTTTACGTTTTTTTAAGGGATCTCGTACTTCACGCCAGCAACATTTGTCTCCTACCACCTGCCGAGGCATGCATAAATCCCCCTTCTTCACATCTGCTATAGCACCAGGATAATCCCATGACACGGGAAAGCGGACAAATCGTATTACACTGGCAGCTCCATTTGGTCCAGCGCCCAGATACCATACGTCAAAGTGGCTGTATTGGTATCTCCATTCTTTCATTTAATTCCTGGCAGCCACAAGCCGAAAACGAATTAAACAGAAACTCCAATGTGCGTATGGATCACATGACCGGGTATTCATCACGTGCAGTCCTTAATGACTCGTTAGCGCATCCGCACGTGGCAGATGCAGGTATGGGGCTCCGACCCGTGCTGGGCTGAACAGGCGAGTGATGACGTCACGGCATGCCACACACCTGCGCCCAGACACCAGTGACGTCACGGCAGCCATACACCTGCGCCCAGACACCAGTGACGTCACGGCATGCCATACACCTGCGCGCAGACACCAGTGACGTCACGGCACGCCATACACCTGCGCCCAGACACCAGTGACGTCACGGCATGCCATACACCTGCGCGCAGACACCAGTGACGTCACGGCATGCCATACATCTGCGCCCAGACACCAGTGACTGAAGAACCCCTGGACAGCGGACCGCTTCAGTCAACAGACGCCGATGTTTGGTTGTCGGCTCACTAGTTTTGAGCTGAATGTGACGAGACGTAGCTAAAATTATGTCTTTCTTGCGAGGTGCCGAATGCCTGAAGCTGTGGGCTACCGACTCCGGCCTGTTCGCGGTTCCGCGGCATTAGTACTACAACAAAAGCCGAACAAAGTGTTACGCGACAAAACTTGTATTGCAAAAACCTATACTGGTCATTACTTTTACTGCAAATACTTACACAGCCACTACTTACACACGACGTTACTTCTACTGCAAAAACTTATGCGCGACATTGGTGCTTCATGATAAAATTTATGCTTCAAAAAATTAAACTCGTCATTACTTCTACTGCAAAAAAAATATAATCATTGCTTGTGCACGATTTTACTCCTACGGCATGTACTCAAACGCGACATTAGTGCTACTCGACAAAACTAAGTGTTTGCGGTAGAAGTGTTTGCTATAGAAGTGTTTGTAGAAGTGTAAGTGTTTGCTGTGGTAATGACTATTTTGTAGCGTAAGTTTTATCGTGTTGCTCGCACATTTTGTATTAATTTTTTGCAGTAGAAATAATGTCGCATATAAGCGAAGACTACTTATTACGTAAAGATTTGTGATGATGAATATAAACTTAAGTTTTGTCGTGTATCACTCCTGTCGTGTATAAGCCTTTGAGGTAGAGGTAATGTCGCGTATAAGCTCAGTCTGTATAAGCTTTTGCAGTATAAGTGATGCCGCGTATGACTGATGTCTTAGTACTCCTGTGGGCAGGAGCTTTTGCTACCGATACCGTAGCATCGGTGTCGTGACAGCCTCGCGGGGCGTCCGTCGGTGTTGCCCGTCTTTCCTGGTGGCCGGCCGGCCGGAGGTTCGGCCGGCGCGGGCTGCAGGGGCCGCCGGGGGCCGCGGCCGCCGGCGGCCTTATAAGGGAGGCCGGGGCCGAGCTGGGCCTCAGTCGCGTCGCAGTCGACCCACTGCCTCCCCGCCGTCCGCACCTCACTCCCCCGCCAGCCATGTCGGACCCGGCTGAGGTGAGCCCGCGCCCGGAGCGTGGCGGCGTCCGGCACCGGTCGCCGGTCGCCGGTCGCCGGTCGCCGGTCGCCAGTCGCCAGTCGCCGGTCGCCTCGCCGGTCGCCGGTTACGAGGCACCGGGCACCGGCTATCCAACCCACCGAGCTATGTCCGGACTTGCTGTCAGTTCCTACACCAGAAAACTTGCTTTATCTCACTGACTTGTTCTTTATTTTATCCGCTGTCTGAAATTTAAAGTGATTTTTACCTTTACCTCAACGGTCCCTTTCTTTCCGAAAGGACGGGTGGTCTCTCACGGCATGTTTGTCCATCGTCTGACCTTCTTACGCTTGTGTCACATTCTCTTCTGAAGTCATGAGCGCATGCGTGTTTGGCACGTTTGTCCATCATATTTGGCTTCTTACGGCGTGTTCGTCCATCTTCTGAGCCTTCTCTCTGCTCTGAGCTCTCACCACCTTCGGTTCACCAGCGCGGTCCGTGCTGGTCCCGGGTTTTGTCGGGGCTGCTTCACAGCCGCTCTGCCTCATCTGGCCGGACTCGACCCGTGATGAACCCTCGAAGGGGGTGTGGCCAGCCGGCCGACCTCCTATTTCCGGTCTCCGGTCGACCACGTGACGTGACTCAGCTGTGACGTACCGGTTCCCGTCGATCGGCGTCTAATTCTGGCTCTGGCGGCTGGCGTCGGGCGTCGGCCGTCTTCGCGCCGCCGCCGCCGCCCGAGCCGGCCATGGACTGCTGGCGCTGGTTGCTGGCGCGCCTGGGCCGCCGCGCCCCGGTGGGTCTCGCCAGCGCCCTGGGGGCTGTGCTGTGCTGTGGTGGTGACGGCCGTTCTGGGACACTCGGCGGTCCCGGCTCCCGGGCGGCGCGTCCGTGCGTGCCGGCAGACCGCGTCGGGGCCGGCCTGTCCTCGGCCCCCGGCAGACGTGTGTGTGTGGGCGTGAGGCCGGACCGGCCAGAGGTGAGGCCGGCCGACAGCTGACAGGCGCCGTCTGTCCGGCAGGCCAAGGTGGAGACGGAAGCCGCCACGGAGGAGAAGCCAGCCGAGGAGGCGCCCGCCGCCCCGCAGGAGGCCAAGGTGCGTGCCCCGCCCGCTCCCCCCCCCCCTTCCCCCCAACGCCGCCCGCTGAATCTGCGGGCCGTGCATGCGCGCCTGGTGACCCATGCGATCATGATTATCTCGTTAACGATTCGGATTGCGTCGTTGTGCCGCGTGTGGCGCTGATGACCGGCTGGTGCGGCGGGCGCGGGTGTCGTCACGTGCTGCGCAGCAGGTGGGGGAGTTTCCGTCGCCTGACGCGCCACTTGCTTTGTGGCAGGCTGAGGAGCCGGCGGCGCCAGCGGAGGCGCCGAAGGAGGGAGGCGATGCCGCCCCGGCGGCCGAGGTAAACTAGCACCCTGCACGGCAGTCTGATTGTCTTTCATGGCGCCGGAGCGGCGGCCAGCCCTCTTCTCTCGCCCCTCAACGCCATGCCTCGGGCCTCCCGCGCCCCTGGTGCAGCGCCAGTCAGCTTGAGGTTCGCGCGACTGCGGTTAGATGGCAGGGCCGAGGCGGATGAACGACGCCAGCGCGCAGGGGGCGCGCCGCCGGAAGCGACTCGCCACCGGCTGGGATATGACCTAGTGTGCACAGTCAGCATATGACCTAGCGTGCACGGCCAGCATGCCGTTTCGTCCTGTAGTTCACGCGGCAAATACGGCCGTGCATTTGTTATTTTGTTCGAGCCAGTGTGCATATTCTTGTTGTAGACTTGCCGATTTTTATGCAGGGTACGCTTCTCCTTACACTTACCATAAATAAATGGTGCATAACAGTTCGTCTTTGATGGTGTGAAAAGCAGAAGCGGAAACACTTCCATTAGCTCGAGTGTTTACTTCACTAGTTCACACATCCACACTCTTTTCACACTCTTCACACACTCTTTTCTTTCCTCGAAGCCCTTTAAGCCTTAACAGAGAATTGTCCGTTCGTTTTCGTTTGTCCAGTCAGTTGGTCTATTTGACCAGTTTTGTGGTGGTGTCGAGCTAACCACCGCCAACTCTCTGCTCCAATTGCTTTGGCTGCCTGCCGACCGATCTGGCGCGCCCGTGCCGCTGGTGACGCTTTTTTGTCGCCGACGCTGGGCCAAAACAGCGGGCGGAGGAATTCGGGCTGGGTCCCAGCTGCGCTCCACTGGGCGGCCGCGCTTAATGGGGCCGCTCCCTGTCGTCATCGTTTGCATTCGGCCCGTCTGTGGACTATTGCGGTGAACGAGCGGGACGGACGCTTGCTGGCTGCGTCCCAGAGGTCCGGCGGGCACCCCGGCCACAGAGCGGCGTCCTCGACCCACGTGGTGTCTGGACGCCGTATGTGCGGGGAACCGCCGCACAGGCAGGGAACGACCGTGGCGCCGCACACAGACACGTCCGGCATGCTGACGGGCACAATGCCACGTTGTGGCAGCATGAAATCTCACGCAGTTTGAGGATCTGGTCGACCACCGGTCGGGCCGCGTCCGCTGGACGGTCCGTCTGTCAGGGCCGCCTGTCAGGGCCATCTGTCACGGCCGTCTGTCAGGATCATCTGTCAGGGCCGTTTGTCAGGATCATTTGTCAGGGCCGTCTGTCAGGATCAACTTCAGGGTCATCTGCTAGGGCGGTTCGTCAAATCACCTGTCAGGGCCGCCTGTCAGGACCATTTGTCAGGATCATCTGTCAGGCCTGTCTGTCAGGTCCGTCTGTCAGGACCTCTGTCGACCGCTGCCGGTGCGCCCGGCCGTCGGGGCAGCTGTTGACGGGCGTGGCGCGGTCCCAGACAGCTCGCCGCTGACGCGAGAGCGACGGCCGCGGAGGGCGGAGGGCGGGCCCAGCCGCGGGCTGCGCGCGGCCTCGGTATGGTCGTACTCCGCGAGCAGATAGCTTCGTTCCGTGCTGCACGATTGTCCGGTACCCTCGGACCGGATCAGGGTCAGGAGGGCTGACGAGGATCCAGGGCTCCAACACTCACAGGAGCTGCGTGAGCAAAAATATCCAAAATGGCCGCGTCGTCGATGCGTCCTTAAGTAACGAACACATGCAGAGGCAGATCCAACACGTCGCACACCGCTCTTCCGCACGAGGCAGTGACGCTTGACCAGCCGCTCAGCTGGGGGCACGGGCGTGCGCGACGCCCTCGTGGCGCGAGTGGCTAGCGCACCCCTGGGTTGGCCCTCGCTCAGCCCGCGACCGGCCAGCGGGGGTCGAAGAGCGATGGGATCGGACCCGGCTCTGATCTGGACCCGGACCCGGCGTTGGTCTCACCATTCTCCTGTCTTTGATATCAGCCGAAGGGCAAGCGCGCCTGTGTTCCCGGCCTCGTGCGGCGACTTTTATGCTCGTGGGGCGGGGGGGGGGGGGGGGTCATGTTTTGTCGGCATCACATGGCTCTTGGCATTTGATATCGCTGGCTTTATTGATGCGTGTGTCTCGTTTTGTATTGTCGACGAATGTGGATTGATTCGGTTGTGCCGCAGTGATGATGTTTGAGCGATGCTGAAACATGGTATTGTGTCTGGCAGGATGCTTCTGCCGAGGTGAAGGCGGAAGGGCCGAAGGTCGAGAAGAAGGAGGAGGAGACGGCGCCGGCGGCGGAGAAGAAGGAGGAGACGCCGGCCGAGGAGAAAAAGGAGGAGGTGGAAGAGAAGAAGGAGCCGGCGACGGAGAAGGAGGCGCCTGCTGCCGAGGAGGAGAAGGCACCTGCCGTGGAGGAGAAGAAAGAGGAGGCGGCTCCCGTGACAGACGAGAAAGAGGCGGAAGCCCCCGCGACAGATGAGAAGAAGGAGGAAGTCTCGACCGAAGAGAAGGCTCCAGAGGTGAGTGCCAAGTCCCACAGAAGGTGACCGTTCACGACATCAGCTGGACGCGAGAATCATATCGATACATGGCTCGGTCGAACGGTCGCCGATTGCGGTACTGAGTTTATTCTTTTTAGAGGGAGGGGTAGGCACCGTCCAAACGGAGGCTTGTTACCACCTTCGGCCCGCAAACGAAGTCTGATCTTGCGACTGCTCAGCTAAAAAATATGTTTGTCATATTCCAGCAACCAAAAACGTGTTTTTTATTGACTTGCTGAATTCAGTCGTCTTTTCGGAAACACTCCACTGTGGCGCTAAACCGATGTCCACCAATACTTCAGTGCTTCGGCCTTGCTGGCTTCTACCCTCGGATCTGTTGTTGACGATGTGGGCGTGCGCGCCAGTGGTGCCCGTGATCAAGACGTCGCTCTGCTCCGCCGCAGGCGCCGGCTGACGCCGAGAAGCCGGCCGAGAAGCCGGCCGAGTCGGAGCCGGAGCCGGTGAAGCCGGCCGAGAAGCCGGTCGAGGAGCCGCCCAGCACGGAGGAATAGTCGGCGTGCGCGCAGCCTAGCTCCTGTTTCACCGGACCAGCCGACGCGTCGCTGGCGTCGCCCCACACACCGGCCGACGGCCCGGCCGGCGGGCGAGTTTTATGAATTTCACAAGTGGGCAAGCTCGCGCCGGGACCTGCGCGCGACAGTGCTGCGTGAGCGCCGGGTCGGAGCGCGCCCGACGAGGCGCGCGCCGACGCCGTGCGGCGCTCCGACGCCGGTCCGGCCGCGGCTGCTGATGTGACGCCTGGCCTGGGGCCGCCCGGCCGTGCGGGCCGCTCCGTGGGTGGCCGACGGCAGCGGTGCCGCCGCGGCTGCTGATGTGGCCCCGTGTGTGGGGCCGCCCGGCCGCGCCGCCGCCCGACGCGGCCGGCCGCGCGGCGCGGCGGCGCGCCAGGTCAGCCGCTGAGCGCGGCGGCGGCGGCGCGGCCGCGCCCCGGCCGACGCGGCCCGGCGCCGGCGCGGAGCATCGCCCGCTCCGCCGACAGGGCGCCGACCAAATTCGAAATTGCACCCCGGCAGGGCGACAGTGGAAGCCAAGGCGGGCTGGACGCGCGCCGAGACTGCTCTGCGCGGGACTGGTGTCTGTGACCCGATCGTTCTGCGCGGCCGTGGTAGGCTTTCACCGATGCATTAAGGATTCTAGTGTTACGTTTGTGCGCTCGTGTTTAATTTCAAACTTCCAGTGATGAGCAGGCGAAGAGCCAAGAATATCTCCCGGTTGTGTGTATTCGTACTATTTGATAATAAAAATTGATCTGATTTCTAGATTAGCAGCCTTAGTCAAGAGTTGGACATGAATATCAGATGCACATCGTGCGAAAGCACCTTTTTGTCTACGGAGCAGGTATGCTTGCAGGCTCGACAAGACATCAGTGCCTGCGGTCCTGGCTCAGACCAATGATTCATTTCGGTTGTGAGTACAGTTCGGTCACTTGCCAACGGACGGGCCTGCTGCATTCGGTATATAACGGTCTCAATTCAAAACAAACCGGCTAGGACCCAAAAACGCGACAAGTTATTAGCCGTCTTCGCTGGCAAGAAGCATCGAAACTTGCCGGCATTCATCAGTGTGGTTTTGATAGTGCCTCGGATACAGCGTATATCCTCGGGCGTATACAGCTGCTTCTCTCGGAAGCGTTATCTTGTTTGCCCGTCCGCTGGCCACCGTCTAGTGTTACCCGCGAGCCAACGCCGCGCGGCTTACGGAGACTGCAACGCCGGACGTCGGGTTTTTTGTTGTAAGACTGACGAATGGGCATGGTCAAAACAAAGATGTAATTTTTTACTACTCAATTCTGAACCAAGGTTGAGCATGCCTGGGCGACCATGGGCTGACCATTTCAATGCAACGTTTGACACCACTTCCATTTACAATCTACGTCCACTATCATCTGCGCTGAAAACTGTTCTACAATCTTTCCACTGCTCAGTTTTGAGCAAAGGTTGAACATTCCCAGACGAACCATTCCCATTTTGCCCATTTTATTGCAACGTTTCCATTTCAATGAGTGCCATCGGCTAAGGAAAAGTTGACGGAACTATTGCAAAATGAAAAGCTGCGGCGTTTTTTCCAAGTAATCAATTAGCACCAGGTTCCTGCAGTTAATTGTCTTCAAAATACGAACAGAATTGCATCTTTCGGTGCCTTCTGGTTTCTGTTTCAGTAAAAGAAGGTACATGGTAACCAAAAAAAAGAAGAAAATCGTACTCCCTAAAACTGGGTGGGCGATATCTGGGGATTTTTGGGGGGAGGGCCTTTCATTAGGAGATGCCCTTTGCGAATCCTTCGTCCCACGCCCGCCTTACCAATACTCTGGCCGCGCTGCCCCCCCCCCCCCCCTCCCCCTCCACAGCTAACAATCTATCGGGGCCTCGAGTAAACGGATCTGGCAGCAGCGCAGCCCGGCCTGTGCCCTGCCAGGATCCAGTCTCTTGTATAAAATGGATTCAGCTGCTGTACTGTCCAAGCAGAACAAAGCTTGTGCCCAACGGGGAATGTAGTGTGTTTTTCGTGAATGCCGTCGCAAAATGTGAGTGGGATTTTTATTGGCTCGGGCCGGTTTCCCAGCAGGATTCCAATTCTCGCACAGCATTTGCCAGCGGCTGCGCCACACTTGCATTCGTGCGGGCAGTGGTGTGAATATTGTATGTGTTGTCGTGGGCCGCTTATCTTTTTTGCGTCGTGCGCGCCTTTCCTGCTTTGTGTCGTGCTCAGCTGGGAAATGAAATAAAATGTGTTGGGCCGTACAAACATCCAAGTCGCCCGACTGCATGCTTGTTAAGACACCCGTTGACAACATGCGGCAAAACCAGCTGGGTTCCGAAACCGTATTTGGATCGTTAATGCAAAAACATTGGGTTTATGTCATCAGTTCCCCCAACAAGCTGTTGACTTAACTTTCAAATTACCTACATTACCCAATGGTGACGGAATTAAATTAAATTAAAATGCCACTTGCCTGTGGATCCCGGTCTTTGCGTGGTGGAGTGTAGTTAACCGAACTACCTCATTTTAACGATGTGGTCAGTGTGGGGTGTCGTATGTGATGCCAGCCCAGTGATCGAGCCCAGTTTTAAACTATTCAGCTGCGGATGGCGACAGTATTGCCGGTGCAAGAGCGTTCCAGTCATTTACGACGTAGGATCTGAATGTGTTCCGACGGACGAAGGTCCTGAGTTAAGGGCTTACATTGTCATTTAAATCATCATTACATCATACCATTTTCGTGTCGTATCTTGCAAGAACTCGCCCACCGGCAAAGACATGCCTCCGTGACACATCTGGAACATTGCAACAGGCAGCTTTATTGGCGTGGCCGCCCGATGCGTCTACTCCGCATGTCTTCACCTCACCGCACCACATCTCCCGTGCCGCCGGTCGACCCGGTCGGCCCAGTCGGTTGCCGCGGGCGGATCTCGGGCACATAGCCGCAGGATTCGACCTCTGTCTTGGCGAACTCCACCTTGGCAGGGTTCGATGTGCTGCCGTTTTCATCACACTTCTCCAGTAGCGTCCAAACGTGGTCTGGATGAGCAGCGTAGTCGTCATCATGCGCAAGGATGGCATCCACGACTTTGCAAGTCCGTGGTACATCGTCCCGAGCCTAGTCTCCTAGTCGGCCGAACTCGTCGCCACTTGTATCAGTCCCTCGAGGACTCGTTTGTACGTGTACCGTTTCCAGGGCGTGATGAATGTTGTGAGATGCTGATCTTCACCTGCGGTGGCCATCTGGGGGCATTCATTCTTGGTGTCAAATTTGGAGAAGAATCATGCGTCTTTATTGATACCGGACACGGTGTCGTGCGGCATGTAAACGGGATGAGGTCCTCTCTTGACGCACGTTTTCAGCCTGGTCAGGTCTCAACAGATGCGAACATATCCAGAGTTCTTTGGGACAACTGCTATGGAATGGCACCACTCTGTGGTGCTATATGCGGGGACGATGATAACCCTCGCCTCAAGATCGCCCCGCTGCCGGTTTACCTCGGCTCGTCATCCGAACGGGATCTTGCGAACAGCGCTCAGGTTCAATGATTTCGCATCTTCCCGCGATGTATTTTCGTTGACCCGCCTGCCATCTCACGGACTGTGGATGCGTCAAACGCACGCGGGAACGCTGCCTTCATCTGCGCCAGATGATCTGCCCGCTGCTGTGGCGACGGGTCGCCCATGTCAGAGGACCATATCGGTTTACACGGTCTGTCACAATGACTGGTCATGGATGCCCCTGGTCGGTCGCATGGGCTGACGTGCGGGTTCTCCAGCGCAGCCCGCTGCGCGCTGATAACGTTAGACAGCGCCACCTGCGAGTCCTGGAGCATAGGCGGCGTCACTTGCTACCCAGTTTTAGCCGCGGGCAGCGCCACCTGCGGTCCGCTGCTGGTCGGATGGTGGCTGTGGCTGTGTCGGATGCGGCTGCCGTTTCGAGGATGGAGATGATCGTTGTTGTGCTGAGAGCAGGGTAGGCAGGGACATAGCCAGAACGTTCTCTGCCGGCTAGTGACCTGGGCTGACATTGAAGTCGGCGTCCGTTCCAACAACTTACACGTATGCAATCTGTTTTGGGAAGCACGCCAGAAGGATACGCAGTTCCATGGAGTGAAACCATGACGGGAGAGCCGCGCGTACACCTCCGATGACGTAAATGTCAGTTGCAACTGCGTGCTGACCAATGCGAAGAACGGCACTGAGCGTTCAACGACAGTGAAGCCGCTTGCTGTCTGCAGAAATAGCCTTTCCTTTACTGGAACCAGGTTGCGTAGGTCAACACCAATCGCACTTGTCTATTCAGAACCGATGACTGTGGACTCAGCTCCGGTATCAGGGGACCATGACAGACGGGCACTGCCGTTGAGATGCGTGACGATGGCACGAATCTACGGCGTCTTACGGAACGTGGGCCTGATGCTGATACGTCAGACACCATGATACGGTACTGCACATGGTCACTCCGATAGCGTCTCACCGCTCCGCCGTACCGGCGCTCCGAGACGCCCCACTGACTCTCACTCCTCCCGTCGGCTGCTGTAGAACTATTGTGGCCCGGTGACCGCTGACCTTTGACCTGATGGCCTCGCCACAGAAACTACACTTTCTCGTTGGCGGATTCCTAATCTTGTGGGCTGTAGAGACACGAGTGACTGACATGGCTTAGCCTTCCTGTTCGTCACGTCCACACTGAGCATTTTCACTGGTGCGGCAGGTGTTAACAGCCTTCTGTAACGTGGGTGATTCATCTGCCAAAAGCTCCTCCAGTACGCCTGCGTCTCGTACTCCAGTGACTGTTTTATCGCGGACCTGGTCGTCTTGGGAATGGTCACAGAGATTGCAAAATTCGTAAATCTCTTTGCCTGCGGTCAGAGAAAATTATTAAGCGATTCCTCTGGCTCTTGCGACCGCAAACAGAATTCGCGGCGATCCAGGATCCCGTTCTCTGTTTACGTAAATGCTCACCGACCTTGTCCAGAATGACATCAGCGGTGACGGTTGCATCGGTCACATCATCATCCAGTGACTATTTCACCAGTCCTACCAAACGTCATCGAGAAGTGCGATCAGTGCCTCCTTTTGCCGCCAGAGGTAGAATGGCCATTCGCGTCAGTTTACAATGACCATTGAATTTCCTTTCCACGCAGTTAATGCTCACAGAGATGCGTCCGATAAAAGGTGTGGAGAAGATAGTAAAGCCGCCGATGGCGAGCA